GTCCAGCAGCTTTCCTTCTGCATAATTAATGGGTCTGTTTAGCCTTAAACGGCCATGGCTGAACATGATCACACATTTAATTACTTATATATCTAGTGGGCTGGTTGTCTGAAAACCTTGTGTAGTTTTGTGGTCAACTGTAAAACAAGAAATGCAATTTCTGTAAAAATGTTCCATGTCTTTTTTCTTGAGATTAAAGGGCAAGTTCTCACTTCTATTAGAGAGATGTTCTAATAACAGGTTATATCACTGGACTATAAACCAGAGGGACACCTGAGCTACAGTACTGAGGTCAGGTGGTCTAAGTGTGAAGCCCTGGGCTCTGCAGTCCAAGCAATCAACAGCAGAATACCTGTTCATACTCATTTAAAAGAGCTAGAGTGACCTTGTTTATTAAAATTAGTTTGTCAAAGTTGATCAACACAACAGAACTATTGGGAAAAACACAGCTCAATCCACCAGGGAACGCTGCCCAATTATTTAGAAAGGGACAGTTCGGCGAGAAGCACTTGTCCCTCCTCATAGCAGATCACAATTAGAAAGGCAAATGATCAATTAAAATAATCTGTTGCCATGGAGAGTTTGTTTTTCTGTTTCTCAAAAGCAGTGTCTGCTGTGGAGTTTCAGCATTACTCGATTAGGTCCAGAATTTCATCAATTAATTGTTTTGTATTTTCTACCTGCAGAAAGAGGTCAGAGACAAAGGGCATAATGAGCTGCAACAGCCCCAGAGGAATCATTAAAATATTATCTAATCTAATCTAATCGTCTAAGAGACTTGCTCTAACTGAGGAAAAAAAGCGATAACGTTTTAAGCCTGAGTCTTTTCCGGTGTGACGTCACAGGAGAGGATTTCTTTCCCAGTGATGTGTTCAGGGACAGTGATTTGAAAATGAGGTGACATGAGATGACCACAAGCAGTCACTCTCTCATCTGCCGGTGTTTTCTATTTGTGTCAGCTAACATGTGTTTCTCATGATGGGACCTGACACCTCCCCTCAAGCAGCATGGACCACGAAGAGCGTCAAAGTGGAGAGGCAAGGCTATACGAGAAACTATTTCTCACTGACTGCAAATTACATCCCGAACCGAACTCACTAAAATGTCTACAGATAATGAATTTTGGAAAATGGCATATATTCAGAGTAAAAGTCCACCTCATACCCCATGTCTACATATACACAATCAAATATTTGCCTCTCCTCCCTCTAAAATTGGCTGTTTTTTACTTGAGTGCAGAGTGCGTGCTAAGTCATTTTGACCTCTGCATATACTGTATGTCTGGAACTTAGTTTTTCCCCAGGCTGAATGTCTAGGTGAAATGGATTTACTGTTAAGGATTAATAGGAAGGATTTTACCACATTGTGAAAGATGACTTAACAAATATGTGACATTTATGCTTAAGTGGAAAAGTGCCAACCTTTGCTCATCATTCATTTTAAACATGTTTTACTGTATGTGAATCCACAGACATTATTATTAGTCATTATTTATTTAATTATATTGCAAAATAGCTGAAGCACTTGTAAAACAGACAGAAACAGACAAGTGAGAGTTTTTATCAAGCTGTTTAAGATTCTAATGGCTTGGTTGTCTGATATTGGATTAAGCTCTCCATCTTGAAAGCGTGGCTTGGCGGTGGGCCCCTCTGGAGCGAGGTGGCCGAGGCACCCGGTGGCAGAGGTAGTGACGTACTTATGTGCAGCAGCAATGAATCACTGGGAGACAATGCCCCTCTCTTAGCCTGAGCTGTTTGCAGATGCACTGAATACAACACAGATCAATCGGGAAACTGCTTTGGAATCATTAGTGTGGTGCAATATGCAGAAACAAAGACAGTCCTGCAGATTGCACCAAAAGTGAGTCTGCAACTATACTGATGGTTTCCCAAAACGTTTAGTCTGCTAATTATTCATCATTATTGCATTGTGGCACTTAAGTGTTGTCAAGTTGATTTTAAGGAGCAGTCACATTAGTTTGTTATTTAATAAGGAATATTTTTGTCATGCAAAGCACATTTAAATCTGAATCTGGACACACAATTCTGAAAATGAGGAATGAGCAGGAAAAAAAAACAATCACAAATCTCCTGACTTAATACTCAGTCTTTCACTTATTTTGAGTGCTTTTCCTCTTATAGTCCAAGAACATCCGCAATAATCTGGAAGTAACTCATTCAATGAAAATGCCAGCAGGTGTGGCACCTATAGGACCATTCGGGTAGACGCTCGTGCACGCGCGCGCACACTCACATATGACTCATCTCATCTAAACTAAAGCACTTTGTCAGAGGCGTCCATTCACGTTACACCCATACAAGAACGCGCACTCAATCTCAGCTTGGAGCGCGACACTTGCAGTGGGGTTGGCTATATAAGTCCATTCAGCGTCTACTCTTAAGGTAACTATATACTTTCTTCAAAGAAGTGAAGGAGGGCGGCATCTCGCCAACTACCTGGCAACCTACACGGCTGTAGGCTACTGGACCACTGCTAAAGGCTGAAGGTATGAAAAGCTTCATTTGTTTCATCCATATTGTCAGTGTTTGTCTCCATGCCTTGTTTGGCACTTGCATTTTCTCATTTTCTCGACACAACTTAACTCCAAATAAATCTGATGGAACACATCTTGCGCTCTGGTTTCACAAACGTTTTAACAAACGTACTTAGGCTACAGATCAGCAGGTGGATATTTGTCCTTAGTTGTTGCATTGTATTTTTGAACTTGGTTTTCTTTTATAGAGCTGGAAGCAAATGCATATAGTAGGCAACAATACTCAAACTTTATCCATATCCAGAGCCAAATATCCAACCTCTTTTTACGCGCAAACTATTCCACACAAGCCTGCGTTAAGGCGATGCATGTTTTTAGTGCGTAAATTACTTATTACGCAGCACATTTCAGATTAGAACTGGGATTGAAAATACACACATAACATGACAGGCATTTGTTTTCCTTCTCAGATTCCTGTTGATATCCTGACATGAAGCTCAATTTATTTGGTACCACCGTGATTCTGCTAGTTGCCTTCTTACCCCGCTACGAATGTCGGGCTATTGAGAGCCCTGGCGGTGCCCTGCGCGTCCCAGCTCCCCAAACCCAAAACTCCCAGCAGCAGCAGCAGCAGTCTGGTCCCATCCTGGAGCGGCTTGGAGAGGAGTATTTCATCCGACTGGGCAACGGGGACTCTAACTCTTTCCCATCATCGTCCATGTATCCCGGCGGATCACCTGCCATCTACAACAGAGCATTGCAACTCCAGCTGACGCGGCGTCTTTTACAAGGGAAAGTTGGGAACATCAGGGCGCTCATAAGCAGCTTCGGAGACCGCGGGGACGAGTCGATGGAGAGGGGAAGGAGGTCCGAGGACCCGCCGATATCCCTGGATCTGACCTTCCACCTGCTCCGGGAGATGATGGAGATGTCCAGGGCGGAACAGCTGGCCCAGCAAGCGCAAAGTAACAGAAGAATGATGGAGCTCTTCGGGAAATGAAGACCACTTTCCATTCCGCCAAAGATCTCCTTTCCTCCTTTCTTTTCTTTTCTTTTGTTGCATTTTTACCATCAGCACAAAACATGCTCTGTACAATATAGTGCTGCTTTATCACTCTGTTATTTATAGCTTTAACCTCAAACTATGGAGCGTAAACGGGCTTGACTTATAATGATCCGATTGCCATTTTAATGTTGGTGTCAAATCTGTAGAATTACACCGTTCTTCATGTTTGAGATGAAATACTTTTTAGTTAAAACATGAAATACTGCATTGAGAAAATTGGCATTATGTTTTAGATTATGAATCACTGTATTTATGTTTATGTTTGTTAATAAACTTATGTGCAACCAGTCATTTTCTGTTGTGCAAGAGAACATCTTATATCTATATTTTTAATAAAAAATTAAAAGCAATGCTTACACTTCTCTGTGGATATCCTTACATATGAGTTAATAATAACTCCAATGAAAACTAACTAGTCCCCATTACTTGAACTACTAATCTGATTAACATACTGTCCTAATGTTTCCCAACATATAGATTAGTAATCTTAACACTGGAGAAATTGAATTTAGGTTTACTGGTTCAAGGTAAAAAAGCAAACAGTTAGTCAGAGACAACACAAATGGCCACTGCATGTTGAGTCTTGCCTGCACAAATATTGATTGATAGAGAAACGTTTTTCCAACTGATTATCCAGCCGGATCATCAAAATCTTTAGTGGTGTAACCATGGCATTGCTGTCAAGCCAAATTGTGGGTTAACACCATGCCTCCTCTCTAACGCAGACAAAAAGAGCTGTAACAACAAACAAAAAATGACCAAAGATGTATAAAAGGATGATGTAAGAGTGCCTGCAGTCATGCAGGTGAACATTCATTCTCCTAAACATTTAATCCTTAAGAAGCACGTCTTATAGGGAAGCACAGACAGCTGAGAGATGCGACACTGATGCTACTGCTACTGAGTGTGAAAGACACTGTGTGCATGTTTGTCCATGTGTATGTGTATGTGTATGTGCGTGATGTGCTGATCCTTGACCCACAGTGTCAGGGTAAACTAAACAAGAGCTGTGGGTGTGAGTCATCCTATTCTGTTCAGCCCACTAAGCAACTTGGGGCTTAGTGCTGTACTGAGCCCATTTGTAAAGGATCCAACTCAATCACACAATAATTAGATGGGACTCAGTGGTGGACTAACTGAATAGTGGAATCACAGCAAGGTGAGACCATTGCATGGCAGCAAACAGACAACTGGTGGCCTGAGGCTCGCTGCAGTCTGACATGTACATTAGGTCGTGGGCAGGAATGGTCACAACCATTCTGTAGAGAAGGATCTAACAACTGTCTGAGGTATATAAATGGCACTAATGCCTTTTCTAGATGGATTTCCTTTGACAGAAATAAATGGGGAAAGAGTGTGAAGAAGAGATAAAGGGAGGATGAAAGAGAAAAATAAGTCTTTTTCCATCACACATGGGCACACACAGACACACCAAACGGGTAGGGTGTTACACATAATTTCATTGGTAATTCAGTCCAGGCGTAAACCTGATGTACAGCGACAAATGTGGTAGTAAAATGAAACTAAAGAAAAGCTGTATTTTTAGTTAATCTGGTATCAACCAAGACTTATTTGTGCAATTCTGTTTTAATGACACATAATGTATAATATACCACAATATGGCAAAATGTGATGTTTTGTCCATAATAGGAAAATATACCTGTGTTACACAACAAAGAACACAACATATAATACAGGCTGCTGGGTGAATGAAATACTGAAATGTCACAGTGATAGTTTTTTACTCTACTACCCTACTCATAAAGTTATATTGGTCATAAAAAAGTATACGACAGGGAGGAAAACTGATGGCCTCTTTTCATGCTTCCTAATGATAGTAGTTTAAGCAGTGAGTCGCAAAAGGTCAGTTACATAAAAATCTGTGAGCAACTCTGAATTCTGGAAATAACCAATAGACACCCATAACCTGTCTGTCTTTATGTATGTTAAAAAAAACAACTAAAGGAGGAACCAGAATGTGTATTTTATCAGACACAAAAAAAGATCAGTCAGTATGCAGTGATACACAATCACAACGAAAGAGAGAGAAGAGAATTTAAACTTCTGTCTTCCTTTAGATCTACCTCAGCAACTCCGACTTTCCCTTTGGCCCAGATCTAAATCCGTCTATCTGTTCCCCGATCTGGGAGAAAAAGTATCACAACTGACCTGAAATCAACATCTAGGAGCAAAACCTATCCTGCTCCAGGTTTGGGTGTTGGCTGGGGCCAGTGGTTGACAGCTAGGTCGAGGCAACACTCTTGACTGCGCTTGGGGATGAGTTAATCTGCTGGGGGGCAGAAGGTTGGATAGAGACAGTGCCTCCCAAAACAGTCTGGGCCACATCTTCTTCCTCAGCGCCTGCTTCTCCATCCTCATCCTCTTCATCCTCGTCTTCATCATCTGTAGAGAGGGTAGAAAATAAAAGTCAAGATTACTACAACTCGGAGAAGTAAGCAGTAAATTGCTGCCATCGCCAACTCCGCTCCTTCACCTTGGATGAAGTCAATGCTGCGCAGGGCCTTGCACTCTTTCTTGAACTCGATGTTGTAATGATCCATATTCTCATAGCCGCGCTCAACTTTTTCCAAGTGTGCTGTGCTGGATGCTTCAGCAATCCTGAGTGCAGAAGGGGTAATTAGCATATTTATGGGGGGAAAGAAATCACCATCAGACAATGTAACACTTTTATATTGTCAGTCTGTGATTTTCAGCACATTCCACAAGTTATTCTGAGATGCCACAGCTAAAGACAATGATTTGTTACATTTCACAGAATTACTTTCAGCAGCTCCACGAGAGCAGGTGTGACCTTGCTGCATTAGGCTGCTGGTGCACCAGTGTAGGTGCAGATGTAAATTTGATAAATCACTCACAAACCCAAAAAGGGCAGCAAAAAAACCCCATACCCATTAATAGTTTTTAATAATGTTGAGTGAGAAAGGATTTTTCCCTTTAAATGACAAAGTTATCTTTTTTACACGGCAAACATCCTGTTACCCATTGTCAGTGCAAACATGTACTCACTTTTTCAGGAGAGGCCTTGCGTTCTGAAAGAGACAAGACAAAGGAAGACAAAAGATGAAATACTGATAATTGTAACTGGTTTATGTTAAGTTTGTGCCAAAATGTTGAACCCCATTCAGTGTGACCTGTAGAAATAAAGCCATTTCCGGTTCCTCCATAGTCTGGATCCCCTTCTCCACAATCTTACAGCTCTCCTCCAGATGGTCTCCGTACTGCCGGGTCAGGCCTCGGACATAGTTCACCTTCTCTTCCTGTTCGGCCGTCACCTTCTGGCTCATCTGCCTCTTCTTATCCTCCAGGATGGAGTACAGCTGGTCAAACTTCTCACACACTAGCGTCTTCTGCCTCCGACCATTCTCCTATACATGCATGAGTGAGAGACACGGGGAGACACACACATGCGGAAATATGAATCATTCATCACAGTCTTGCGGATGAGAAATGTAGAGTTTGTAAATGCAAGGGTACAATAGAGTTTAGAATATTCAACACCAAAGATCAAACCAAAGGAAATGAGTTTAATTCAGTTGTTGTTTTCTCTGTACGGTCGTGTAAATACTGTAAACTACTATGTTCTGGCTCGCCTGTCTTCCGCCCATCCTGTAGTGCCATATGTGCAGGGAGGACAGTGGAGCTCATTCTGCATGTCTGTCCTGAGTCACACCAATGAGGGTGACACATGGGGGACTGGAACTATTCCAGCTTCCTCCCTACTATGACCAACTGTGGCACGTGAACCATAGGAAATCTGTCTGTTCTCCCCCCATCAATTACACTGCTCGTTTTAATGCCAATGGCCCGGAGGCAGAACGGCATGCCCTGCTAAGTGCATGTAGGGGAAATCATGGAAAAGCGAGAGGAAGACAGACCGTGAATTTCCCCGTCTCCGCCTTGCTATCTAAATCTCACAGACAGATAAAAGCAGGGAGAGTGACGGTGACAAGGACACATTACATTTGTTTGTACTGTGCAGGTGAGTGCAGGTGCATTAGTGTGCACGCAGAGCGAGGCTTGCTGCGTGAGTGAGCGGCCAGGCGCAGCAGCAGTCAGACACTGACCTCTATGACACGACAGGCTTCCTCGAGCTGACTAACGATGCCTTGCATCCTGTCGTTGTTACCAACCATCATGGCGATCCCGTCACTCAGCTCTGTCTGGGGGGCAAGGACATGGAACAGTAAACACCTGAGATCAAGTGAATCAAAATTAAACACATCTATCTATCCATCTATCTATCTATCTATCTAGCTAGCTAGCTAGCTATCGACCTATTGACCTATCTTTCTTGCTTGCGCTGTCTTTCTCCCCAATAATCTCATGATTGATAATATTCGCAACCACCATGAGTGTTTCAGGCCTCACCTTCTTTGTCTGGTAGATGCTGGTGATGGCTGCCACCTCGCAGTCTTTGTGAGCTCCGAATACCTTACACATAGAGCATGTGGGCACACCATGGGTCACACAGTAGATGTTGATCTTTTCGTCCTCATGAACATCACACATGGGTGTTTCTTCCTTTCTCTCTGGCGCTGGCTTGCTGTTGTTGCGGTTTAAAGAAAACGGGGGTATATTCCTGTCAGGCTGTTCATTACAGTGATATTGATGTGACATGTAGTGTCAGTTTGATAATGTCACAGGTACACATCTCCACAGCATCAATAGTTTATTGATGATTCATCAATCTTGCCTTGCCATGCACATGGACTGTCAGCACTGTAATCAATACATCATTACACTCTGCACTATACAGGTGTTTCTACTTTTTTATAAATAACTCATACATTGTCAGGTCGATTTATTCCAAAAGTCAGTTCCAGATATCAGTAAATTAAAATTTCACTTGGCTACCTAAAATAATGCCAAAAATCTTGATCCAGTATGAGGTTGAGTACCCTGGGTGTATGAGTGCTGTTAATCTTGTGTCATACTACCCTTTTGGCTATACAGCCAACTCCTCAGATTAGGGAAATCATCTGTGTAGATTGATGACTACAATTACAAACATCCTGTCATCCACTCCAGCTCTCTGACTCAGAAGCCACTGGCACAAATGCCACACCTGCAACTACGGTTCCTGCTATCACACCACCAGTTTATCCTTATTCTCCGTCTTGTCTATGCACTGCCCTCGGGGTTAAAGACAACTTTGACTGAAAACCAAAGCCTTTCTCTGAACTGCGAAGGCAAAAATGTAGTGAGGGGATCAGCATTTACCGTCTTCTATGAAGAGACAGTGAACAGATTACATCTGTGTATCTGATTTGACTCACCTGCTGGACTCCTGCTTGAACATGTCAATGATGTTCTCAACCAGCAGGTTCCTCTGCAGCCCGTACACACCATGTCTGTCTAGAACCACCTCGTGTCTGCAGGACGGGCATCGGAAGCGGCCACCAGATGTCAATGAGCCTCCTCTTGTTGGAAGGTATGGATTTGATGCCTGTAAACAGACACAATTCAAACCCTAAATTAGTAGTATGATGGCACCGGGTTTTAATATTTTCATCTCAGTTGCAGGGACTAACACCAAACAACTACTTGATTCAAGATCTAAATGTTTTCTGATTGTAGTGGTTTATTACATTCATAATATTTGTAAACATAGCCTTAAATGTTCATTTATGATTAGTTGTAACACTTAATGTGCTGATTTTCTGTCTAAAGCTCCTCAAATACACATGAGAATGTACAACTGTAACCGATGTCATCCAAATGTAGTTTATAAAAATATCTATGGTTCAAATGACATTGATTGTGAGCTGGACATGCGAGTGTATAACCACAGTGTTCCTCAAGATTATAAGTAATTTCCCCTTGATACTAAAAAATAAATCATTGGCATTTAGTTCAGTTGCTTACCTGGAAAATATCATTGGCACATTTTCTGCAGAGGTTGTGCTGGCAGGGTAGGATAACCACAGGCTTTGTAAACATTTCCAGGCATATGGGACAAATCAGCTGTTTCTCCAAGTTGTCCATGGTATTCATTTTTGACAAACACTTTAAGCAAGACCTAAAACACTACCAAAACTTAATTAGATAAGAACACTAAAACTGGTAACGTTAGTAAAGAGTCCTTCTTTGAAAGCAACCTACAGTGGGCCGTGTCAGGCTGAGGAGTAGGCCTGCTGTTCTTGTCCTGGTGGGTGTGGGCTCCTATCTCGCTGCTGTCAGTTCTGTTTTTAGCAGCTATTGGTGTCACGTCAAAGGTTGCCATTTTTACCCTGCCCATATTTGAAACTGAGCACAGCAGTACTGAACAGCTGCCTACCAGCCTCTACACTGCTATCAGAGGTGACTGGGTGTCTGTGCAGGGTATGTATGTGTTTTAGATGGGGTGAAGGCTTTCCGTCACATTTCAAAATAAGTTGTTGCATAGCTGTGATAAAAGGATTTCGAGGCTTCCAGAAATATTAGGGTTTAAGATGTATTATAAGCTATGGCAAGCTCCTAGCAATTAAATGTAACAGTATGCTTTAACCACAGTCACTGATGATGCTTGTATCTAGAAAAGGTATAGCCTATTAAATAGTCTTTAGATGTGCTAAACTAAGAAATGAGATGTCTTATGTTTACCCTGTTAAATGTAAGCAGGGTGCCTTAGCATTAAATGTTAACCTAATGCTAACTTTTTAAGCATGGCTTTCTGCTTTTAACTTTTCAGATAATCGTCAGACGTTGGCTGGCATCATCCTAGGTTGCCATCAAAAGCGACATCCATTGCTATGTTAGAACATTAGCTAACTAGCCAATCAGCTAACTACAATAGAAAGGGAACAGTGTTTTATAGCATAAAACAAATTGTTGCGTTAATGTAAGTTTCGTTCAGTGGCTAAGATAATAGATCTTTGCACATGGACAGCTAGCTTACCAACCATGAGATTTGTGACCAAACTTGCTTGTAACTTATTCGACTATGAAGGTTTTATTGGAGCAAAACAACTGGCACCTGTGACAGTGGAATTTGTAGTTGAACAAAAGGGCCACGCATGGATCAGTAAATTTAACACAGAAAAATACTAGGATTTGCATACTTATAGATTTTTTTCTCTCCCACAAACACAGTAGTTGCACCTTCTCAAATTCTTAATTGCACCTCTGCATTTGTGCACAAATCACATTCTACAGATAACAAATTAAGAAACTTATACCCTTAAATTTTTGCTACAGTTGTTGCAGTGAATAAGTTGCAAATATCAAAAATGTGAAGTAAGGACAAAATGTGCACATCCGCAAATCAGTATGTGAATTCCCGCAAAGAGAGTTGCACACCTGTAGAATAAAAATGTCTTCTAGTGTAGCCTATGAGCGCAGCAAATGTCTCAGTGAAGTCAAAGCTCATTTGTGCCTGCAGAGACGAGGGGGGGCATTATTCAGAGACCAGAGAACCCTTTCGGCCAATCAAAGGGCGCCGTTTCGCGTGTTTCCTTTATCCTAGCCGATCCAGGATCCAACCCTCTCACTTGAGATGAAACCACTCCCACACATGTATGATGAAATACTCGACAGTATATGACAGCTACAGTAGCTCCACCAGGAAAGTGACCCGTAAAGAAAAACAAATTAAAATCAAAAGAATAGGGGCGACTATTCGTAAAACATACATTGGAGAATGCGGGCATCGATCCCGCTACCTCTCGCATGCTAAGCGAGCGCTCTACCATTTGAGCTAATTCCCCTCGATGCGGTGAAGGAGATTTCATAATTATTTGAAAGTGAATATGCTAAACGTCACATCCTTCATCTGGAATATCATTGGAATGTAGGGTTTCTGGATGTTGACGCTGCAGTACCTCGTATAAATATCACGGTAGTGTAGCGTTTTACGGAAAGATAGTAGGACACTAGCTAACGTCAACAAGCACGTAAGTTAACTGTATCTGCTCGATTAACGTATCTGTAACATTACATGAAAGCCACTGGATCAGTATGACCGCGATTCTTTGCCCAAGTCAAAATAATTTCAGCTAGAGGGACTCGACTTTGCACAAACTAGAGCGAAACTGCATTCGTCCGCTTCTGTACATAAATTTACCTTGTATGCATTGTTAAGGATGTAACTTATCCATAGCCCATTATTATATAATTGGACTATTTACTTGTAACGTCAGACCCTAATAAAACAATAGTGTACGAGTTGGAAAAGCAGCTCCCTTCGATAGCTCAGTTGGTAGAGCGGAGGACTGTAGTGGGAAAATGACATGGATATCCTTAGGTCGCTGGTTCGAATCCGGCTCGAAGGAGGGATCTTTTTTTTTCTCTTTTTTTTAACCCCCACAATGCAATGCGTTTCTGTCCAATGGCAGCGTAATTAGAAAACGCCCTGAACTGTAATTATATCGGTTTTCCTATTTACTTCTTCACAAATAAACCAGGAGTGTGTCTTTCTTTAGAGCCTCATTCCTCACCTCGCAGTATTGAGTGTTCATTGGCTGAAAGTGACTTCAATAAAAATAATAAAATATGATAATGAAAATAATGAAAGTATTACAAATAACTCTAAAGCAACTTCTATGTGTGTGACACTAAATGCAAATATGAACTATCTTGTTTGGAAGACGTGGAAATCTAGTTTCTAACATATTGCTATTTTTTTGTTCTTCTGATTATAGATTTTGAGAAGGAGCTGTAAACATCCTGATTACTAATAGCCACAACAATCTTCTGTCCTCTGAACCCTGAAACAATGACATCTGTAGAAAGGATGAGTAGATATTATTTTTTTCACTCTTACACAAGAAGGTTACATTACAAATGTTCAGCACCGCTTTGACTACTGTGGAGGTCTCATCAGTAAGCATAAATGTTCTGCATTGTTGATATGCATGTTAAATGAAAAAGACCACACCTGCGCGCACTCTGTTCAAGAGGGAGTTTGAAGGTGATTGTTTTATGTCTGATTTGTACTAGTGATGAAACCAAAAATGTATTGTTACCTGAAAAATATGTTGTTTGCCCACCAACTAGAGAGCATAGAGGAGGCGTTGACATTTTTCTGCCCATACTGTTCAGCTGCAACTTATGCAGGGAGCTGGTTGTAGATTTCTCCTCAAAGATTTCTTCTGATGGTGGAGTCTGTACATACATCGGATGGCATAGTTATGATCCTTGAAACTTTTTGGGGTTCCCAGGATTGTTGGTAGGATATTTGAAAGCTTGATTTCTGGAGAAAGAAACTGCAAAGATCAAGGGTGTTTTATTGCACAGCATGGTTAGTATTGATTGAAATAACACTGATTTGGCTGGCAGTTTTGTCCAAAGCGACTTAAAAATGTTCTCTACACACATCAGAAGCAATCTGGGGTCAGTGCTCATGGATAAAGACAGGAGGAGCCCAGGATCAAACTACGATTAATGGATGACCCTTTAAACCATCAGAGCTTCTGCCTCACGTAGTAGCACCATTACTCAGGTTTTCAGTTATTGAGCTGTTCACTATCCATTAAATGTCATCATTCTTGTGGGGTTTTAAGGTGATTGTTACATTTTAAGATATGTCTGTCACGCTCTGCCGGTTGGCCATCCTTTGTGTTGCACTTTTGTGTTCAGTTAGTGTTATTTTGGTCTGTTGGGTTTTGGGGGTCTGTCTTGTCTTTTGTCTAGTGTTCGGTAACCCTTGTCATGTCTGTTACCCCAGTGATCGCTCTGCATGTCTGTCTCTGTTTTCCCCTGCTCTCTCTCTCTCTCTCTCCCTACCTGTGCCTCGTTAGCCTCATGTCTTTCACCTGTGTTGCTCCCGCCCTGCTCGTTAGTCCCTGTGTATATATACCTGGTGTTTCTGTCTCGTCTTTGTCTGGTCATTGTTCATGTTTCCCCCCCGGTCTGTTGTGTGTGTACTCTCTGCCTGCCTGTAACCGTCCTGTCTTGTCTTGTCCTGTCTTGTCTTGTCTTGTCTTGTCTTGTCTTGTCTTGTCTCGTCTCCCTGTACTTTTGGATTTCTGTTATTCAGCCACTCACCTGTAAGTGTGCTCGCTTTTGGTTATATTAAAACCCTTTGTTGAACTATACCTGCTCCGCTGTGTGTCCTGCGTTTGGGTCCTCCAACCTGCCTCCACACCACGATCGTGACAGAATGACCGGACCAATTAAGAGCCCAGCAGACACTCTAACTGAGGAACAGACTGACGTGCTGAGGGAGCTTCTGATGCTGAGGAATATGTGGTATGGGGCTAGTCATGTTAGCCATAAGGCAGCTATCATGTCCCTTGCCTGGAAGAGCCTGGCTGCTCAGCCAGGAGCAGCAGACTCTCTCCCTGGGTGGGTTTGTGACTTCCTCCACACCTCAGCCGATCCCCTAGCCTATGGCCTGATAGCCTGGAGGCTAGGCTTTCCCCCGGAGTCGTCCTTTGAAGGGAGTCGCCTAGCCATCTTTTCGGGTTCCCGTGGTGGTCATCGGAGGTGACCAGGTCACCATCAGCGACCCGTCGGCAACCAACCTGTCCCCCGGCTTGCTAGAACGGCTAGCTGCCTGCCTGATTCCCGGCCCGCTAGCGCTGCTAGCTCCACATCAGACCTGCCTGATTCCCGGCCCGCTAGCGCTGCTAGCTCCACATCAGACCTGCCTGATTCCCGGCCCGCTAGCGCTGCTAGCTCCACATCAGACCTGCCTGATTCCCGGCCCGCTAGCGCTGCTAGCCGCCTGCCTGATCCCTGGCCTACTCCTGCTCCCAGGTCTCACTCGGTGGTCCAGCCGACTCCTGTTCCCTGTGCTCCGTTGGTGGTCCAGCCGATTCCTGTTCCTAGTGCTCCGTCGGTGGTCCAACCAGCACCTGCTTCCCCGGTGGCCCAGCCGACTCCTGTTCCCTCGTCGGTGGTCCGACCAACACCAGCTTCGTTGGTAGCCCAGCCGACTCCCGTTCCTAGAGCTCCGTTGGTGGTCCGACCGGCACCTGCTTCGCCGGTGGCCCAGCCGACTCCCGTTCCTCGTGTCGGGTCCATGGTCCCCAGCCCAGCTGTCCAGTCGGTGGTCGGACCGACTCCAGCTCCTTGTGTCCGGTCCATGGTCCTCAGCCCAGCTGTCTCGCCGGTGGTCCTCAGCCCAGCTGTGCCTCCAGAGCACCCAAGCTTTGGGTGCCGACCTCCGGAGAGGTCTTGAGGTCTTGCCGTCGGCCTCCTGCTCGGCCCCCAGTGGGTTTGCTGCCCACCTGAACTGTTTTGCCCTCCTGGTCTGCTCGGTCGACCTCCGGGTCTGCCTCCTGAACTTTTGTTCACCTCTGGCCACCCGGGATGGCCTCCTGAACTGTGTTTTCCCCCTGATTTGCTCGGCCTGTCGGGTCGTCCTCCGGGACGGCTCCCAGAACTGTTTTGTCCCCTTGGCCTGCTTGTGCGACCTCCCGAACTCTGTCGCCCCCTTGCCTTGCCCTCTGGCCACCCACCTGAGCGTTCCTGGTCTGGCCCTCCTCCTGTCCTCCCTCCGCCCACCCTGGCTCGACCTGTCCTCCCTCCGCCCACCCTGGGCCGGCTTGTGCCTTGTTTTTGTGCTGTTTTGGATTTTGTTGACCGCGTGGAGACGCTCGTCGGTGGGGGGGTACTGTCACGCTCTGCCGGTTGGCCATCCTTTGTGTTGCACTTTTGTGTTTAGTTAGTGTTATTTTGGTCTGTTGGGTTTTGGGGGTCTGTCTTGTCTTTCGTCTAGTGTTCGGTAACCCTTGTCATGTCTGTTACCCCAGTGATCTCGCTCTCGCGCGCTCTCTCTCGCGCTCTCTCTCGCGCTCTCTCTCTCGTCGCTCCATTCTCTTTTTACCGTTTTCCGGAGGTCGCTTTGGTTAATTTCTCTGATCAGAATTGAAATTCTCAAAACTACTTGTTCAACCTCCACATCATCTAGTCACTTGTGCACATCACCCAAAACATCAAGGCACAAGTTCCTTGCATAAGTCACTACATGCAAAATGGTTGAATACGTTGATGCAGTTTTGTCCATTGGGCTATGCAGTGCTGTAAAACATTCTTGTCTTTTTCTTTTCTGTATCCCAATGACATGCTCTGTCAACAAATTACAGTACAACCAGTAATAGTGTAACAATCTCTTGCAATTGTTACTTTGTACTGTTGAAATTGATGTATATGCCATACTGAAAAAGTACAGCCTGGTGCATTTTCAATCGTTATCATCAAAACCTTAGCTATAGTTTACATCAAAAAATACTTACAGAGTGACACATGGACTTTTTTTATTCTTAGGGCCCTTACATGTTCACTGACTTAAATACTTACTTTTTGAGAGAAGGACTATGGATTTTGGGCAAGTTACAGGC